CCCCCCCCCGACTGTTAGCGGCGGAGGGGCTCGGAGGGTGGGCGCGGGGCAGCCGGAGTTGTTAGCGTCCCCGCTCGCGGCACCCGGGAGACCCCCCCCGATGTCCAGGTTCGCGAGCACAGACCCGCCTCCCGAGCCCTCCCGCATTTGTTGGTGGCATCCCGGGGAAACAAAAGTTGTCGCTCGCGCGCGCGGTTGGTACGCTGTGGTGGCAACCGGGAAATGTAACGTCCGCGGGCCCCGCATCTCAAACACTGCCGGGCACTTTGGAAAACAAAACAAAAACACTTCTTGAAAGCGACTTTTGCTTCTTTTTCAGGTACCCTCAAAAAGTTATGGATAAAATTCTTAGTATGGCTGAAGGCATCAAAGTGACAGATGCTCCAATCCATACCACACGAGACGAACTGGTTGCCAAGGTGAAGAAAAGAGGGATATCGAGTAGCAATGGTTAGCAGATCATAGATGTGAACATACATAGGAGTTTAGAAAATAAGCTTGATAAAATTAGGAATTACTGTAATTACTAATTTTTAACAAGCCAGAATTTGTATAATGTATTAATCTAGTTGAAATGTTTAAGCTAAACTGTATGTCTGTCTGTTTTCAGTGCTGAATTTGTTTCCTTTGACTGCTTTAGATTTTGAAGTTCAATGTCTGATGCTGTTAACTTAAATTAGAAATTAATCCGTATTAATACTACTTTGTAAAGATATTAATGAAGTTTTCCCCTATCTTAAAAGAAACTACTAGTCCTGAAATGCTTTTCTTTGTGCTTTTTTATTTTATTCATTTATTGTTTTTCAAGACAGGGTTTCTCTGTGTAACAGCCCTAGCTGTCCTGGACCTCACTCTATAGTCCAGGCTTGCCTCGAACTCAGACTCGCCTGCCTCTGTGTCCCAAGTGCTGGGATTAAAGGCGTGCCTGCACCCCCACTGCCGGGCTCACCTTTGTGCTTTTTTTATGAATGGTTTGTTGATTAACATGTATACGGGTCTCCTAGTGAAATGCCTGTGTTTTTCTTCTTTCTAGAAGGGATAGAAGAGCCATCCAAAAAACGAGGCGTAGAAGGAAAAAACAATTCTTCGGTTGAGCGAGATCATGGAAAGAAATCTGCCAAAACAGATCGTTCATCGGCTCAGCAGGAGAACAGTTCGGCATCCACAGGGTCGTCTACCAAATCAGAGAGTAGTGGGGCCTCAGCTCGGAGCAGCTCTGGTGTCTCCGATCAGAACAGCTCCACCAGTGAAGGAGATCAATCTGTCTGCAGCCAGAGCAGCAGCAGTTCCCCTCAGGTAACAACAGCAGGGGCTGGAAAAGCTTCTGACCCAGAAGCTCCAGATAAACATGGGTCAGCATCACTTGTTTCTTCATTGTTGAAGTCCAGTATGAATAGTCACGTGACCCAGTCCACTGACTCCAGGCAGCAGAGTGGATCACCTAAAAAGAGTGCTTTGGAAGGTTCTTCAGTCTCAGCTTCTCAGAGCAGCTCAGAGATTGAGGTGCCCTTGTTGGGTTCCTCTGGAAGTTCAGAAGTAGAGTTGCCATTACTGTCCTCTAAGTCTAGTTCAGAGACGGCTTCAAGTGGGTTAACATCCAAAACTAGCTCAGAGGCAACTGTTTCGTCCTCAGCTTCTAAAAACAGTTCCTCATCAGGCACCACTTCACTGGCTCCCCCCAAGAGCGGTTCCACAAATTCATCCCTGCTGACTTCCAAAAGCACTTCTCAGGTAGCTGCATCACTGTTAGCTTCCAAAAGCAGCTCCCAGAGCAGTGGATCCATGGCTTCCAAGAGCACTTCCTTAGCAAGCGTGTCTCAGCTAGCTTCTAAGAGTAGTTCTCAGAGTAGCACTTCCCAGCTGCCTTCTAGAAGTACCTCCCAGTCCAGTGAGAGTGCTGTCAAGTTCTGTCGAAAGCTGACCACTGAGGATGTAAAGCAGAAGCAGCCTTTCTTCAACAGACTGTACAAAACGGTGGCGTGGAAGTTAGTGGCTGTTGGTGGCTTTAGCCCCACTGTCAATCATGGAGAGCTGCTAACTGCAGCCATTGAGGCTCTGAAAGCAACCCTGGATGTGTTTTTCGTCCCATTAAAAGAACTGGCAGATCTGCCTCAAAATAAGAGCTCTCAAGAAAGTATTGTTTGTGAATTGAGGTGTAAGTCAGTGTATTTGGGCACTGGCTGTGGAAAAAGCAAAGAAAATGCAAAGGCGGTTGCTTCCAGAGAAGCACTGAAGTTATTTCTCAAGAAGAAGGTGGTGGTAAAGATATGTAAAAGGAAGTACAGGGGCACTGAGGTGGAAGATCTAGTGCTTCTTGATGAAGAATCGAGACCTGTAAACTTACCTCCAGCATTGAAACATCCTCAAGAGTTACTGTAATTTCTCCGAGTTATCACTGCATCCAGTATCTGGTGTTTGAAGAGAAGAACTGGCTTTTATATAATACAAGACACTGGCTTTCACAGATTTTGTATTGCTTTTTTCCAGTTTTGCAGAAAATTTAAATTCTAGTTCTCTTCACCGAAGTAGAAGTTGTAAATAATTTATGAGTGACAGTACCTATTAAAAGGCATACATTGACAGCATACCAGTGTGCTGTTTTATTTGCTGAGGAAAATACTGTCTTCTATTTTTAATGATATATTAGGTACGATGTGTAGTTCTGTAGAATCTCAAAATTTTTGTACTACCAATTAAGTTGTCTACCATGCTTTGTTTTGTTTTGTTTTGTTTTTTTCTCTAACTTGATTAAATCACATGAAAGAAAAGGGGACCACAGTATTTGAATGTGAGAAATCCTTTTTTTTTTTTTTTTTTTTTTTTTTTTG